ACTCATGAAAAGAAAATCTTGCGTGAGTACATTTTTAAGATACTACTAAGTTTCTAATTCAGGGTTGCCACAAATTTTTCATCCCAAAATTCCTTGATATTTCCCTGATTTCCAGATAAAATTTTCTGATTTTCCCTAACTTTCAATAATACATATTTTGAAATTTTTTTTATATTTTCATCCTGATTTGAAAATCGTTAAATATTTTGTTGATAGAGCAATTTAATATAACAGTATAAATTACTATTAATGTTGACACTGCATTTAATTGTTAAGTTAGTAGTATGTAAATAATTGTTCAGTTAGTAGTATTTTTTGTCTTCCTTTTGTGTATGAATACGATTCTTTTCCTCTTCCTCTCTTTCTCTTTGCTGCTGTTTATTGATAATAAACAGCAGCAAACATTATTATCAATAAACAGCAGCAAGAGAAAGAGAGGAGAATATAAGGAACAAAAATCAATGAATACAGTTTCTTTTTTATCAAAACTAAATCCTTATTAAAATCTCAATCTGCTATTATAAAGGCTACTCTTCGCCCCACCACGCGTTATCAAGTGGTAGCACAAGCCGCATATTTTAAACTTCTTTATAATCATTTTATTTTTCCAGAAAATTTTGCTAAATCTCTGACTTTTCTATGTGACTTCTTTGACCATTTTCAAATTCCCTGACTTTTCCATGACTTTCCTGATTTCCCTGATTTGTGGCAACCCTGTAATTCTACATTTTATATATATACATTTATATATATACTATTTAATGTCTAATTTATCTCTTAACAGCCGACAGAGGAACCGGTGGTCGGAAAAGAGAAGAAGCGCAGGAAATTGGATGAAATAGTATTGGGGCTGAGCGCCGCGAAGGAACAACAAAGCGGCCATTATCTCGAGCACAGCAAAAAGAGTACAATTACACCTAACGTGACCGTGACTCCGACTTCGGCGCCGATCGGTCTTCCCAATCCTCCGACGAGTTCTCAAAAACCGTTCTCCATTACTGTTACGTCAATTCCGTCTTCTCGAGCTTCGAGTTCTTCTACGCCCGTTTTACCGCCGCCGTCGTTGCACTCGCACAAAGATACCTTCTCCGCTTTGTTGGCTCAAGCCGAGCAACAGAATCGTGAATTGAAAAAACAGCAGCAGCAACAGCAACAACAGCAGCAGCAGCAACATCAACAACAGCAACAACAACAGCAGCAACAACAACAACAGCAAAGTGGTAGTGGTGGCGGTAGCAAGTCGGCCTTCAATTCGGCGCATCCGTCTTCCTCGAGCAGTAGTCATCGAAAGAGTTACGAAGCAATGATTGCGGACATCAACAAAGTCGCAGAGTACTCGTCTAAGATCGGCTCGTTCTCGCACGAGGCGAAGGTGAATAAATGGTTAGCGGAGCAAAGCGCAATGTCGGAGCAATTGAGTGCAGAATATTTGAATGCTCCCCGACGACGCAGACCGCGCGTCGATCCGTCCTTGCTGGATTGGAAGAAGCTCACCGGTGAAGAGAATGTCGCTGTTATCAATCGATTAACTGGCAAAAAGGTACGTTAATTCAGAATGTATTCAAATTATAGATTCTTATTGTATCTTATATGTAGATTCTACATATTGTTTTTCAAAATTGTCTTTCTATTATGTATGGATAAATTAGATTAATTCAATTTTAGTAGCACAAATACTATTTGAAATTTAAATGTAATGTGATAAGTTCTGTTTATAAAAGCTAATTATTTATAATATATTTATAATAATTTCTACTGTCACTTTTAAATCATTTATTTTTTTAATCAAGCATCATAAGAATTCATGGAATTATTTGTTTCCTGTTATTTTTACGCAGTATAAATTTTGCTGAATTATTTGTGAACTCTAAATTTAGTTATTCAAATTTTTATTCTTCAGGTAACCGGAAGCAAAGCACCTCAATTGAAACGGCTTGGAACGTGGCTAATGGAAAATCCAATGTTCGACGTTGATCCGAAATGGGCGGAACTTGTGAAGGAACGTGGCAATCTTCCGCACGACCTACAGAAGAGACTATCAGGTAACGAGCGCAGCAGCGTGAACAAGGGCAAGAGCCCGGGCAGACCACCTATGATGCCCAGCCCTACTAGCCAGCAGTCGAGTACCGCCAATCTGGCGGCCACATCGATGGCGTCCAGCCTCAACTTCCCGCTCGGCAATCTAAATAGCTCTTTGCTGTCGAGCCTGTCGCTTGGCAATTTCGATCCGAAGAATCCGCTCTTGATGCCATTCGGCGGTCTGACAAACCTGGGCGCGCTTGGCGGCCTCGGTAATATCAGCAACTTGAGTAATATAGGTCTAACGAATTCGCTGTTTAATCTGGCCGGGCTGAATCTGCCGTCATTGGCGGGCATGGAGGCAGCATTGAATGCGCAAGCGGCAACCAGCAGCGCGGCTG